TCTCCTCGCGAAATGAGGGTGAACCGTCGTCATCACGGCCGGTAAGTGGATGGGAGTTTGTCAGGTGGATGGCTCAAAAACGCGTGAACCTGTCTACGAAAACACATAATCTGGCTATAGATACATTGCAAAGTATGAGTAGATATGGTTGGCTCTTGCTATGGCGAGGAAGGGGATAACGCGATGTGAGGAGGGGGTAAGATGAATAGCGATATGGAGCGTTCAGTATCAGATGTCGAGCGCTTCGTGGGTAGGTCTTTTCATTACCGGCAATCCATCACGAAATGGTGTCATCACGACCAGCCAGCTGGGCAGTCTCCGACCATTCCGCTTGGCTCCAGCTTATTGCGAGCTGGAGCGGTATCCACGTCAGCTTGATCCGCCCAGCCGGGGCCAAGCTGCGTGATTTTCGAGCCAAGTCAAGCCAGCCGTCAAGCCCAACTCGAATTGGCGGCAACACTAGACGTAGGGCTGGCCGAATGGGTTACGTCATCGATGACTGGTACAGTCCTTATCTCGATCTAGCGTCTATCGTGCCAGCGCAAGTGGGGGGCGGCAGCCCTCCCCATCCTCTGCCTCTTGGCATATGGACAGGTTCTAGCCTTCCTATGCTCGCTCTGTGGGCTACTCCGACACTTGCACGAGAATTATGATCTGGTATTTAGTTCGTAAGTGCGGCGAATTCGTTCTTCGTTCTTCCACTTGACCTGTCTCAGACACCATCCATTAGCATCACAATGTGTCCGAGTCTTGCTCTACCAGAAGTCAGCTACGAAGCGCAGACGCTGTCCTTATGCTCGCGTTCATGTTCGAAGTGTGCAGCCGGTCGTATTGCACCACCGGACGCGCAATTCACTCCTCCTCCGCGTGGAGTTAGCGCTGTTGACTTGTGAGTGCGATATCCACTGCTTGGGCGGATGTAGATGTCGGCCCTGTGGAGATCCTGTCATATACGGCGAGACAAAGTGCTAGCGTAAGCCAACCGACACCCATTTCTGAACCCGATCTATCTAGATATGAACCAAGAGCTATCTCCAGTCTACCTCGGAAGAACCCACAGACCTCGACCCCTGCGTCGCGGGTGATACCGAATGTCTTTGCACGCCAGTGTCGCTTCATAAGTCGACATTTATTTTGCACTTCAACGTAGTGTATATAAAGTGAGGCCGTGTTCGGCAAGATCGATTCCGCGCTCATCACAATCCATGGTAGGCCCAAGCAAGCGCTTAATCCCAGGTTCAACTCGGTTATTGACTACACCATTGTTCCTTGATCCTTGCTCATCTCCATATAGCCACCGACTTCCTTACTATCACTGTCTCGGTACTGATTTCTGCTCTCAATCTACCCGGACGTCACTTCGAGCTTGCTCACCGCTCGGCACTTCTCTCGTCGATAATGGCGATCTCTGCTGTTCAGATCAGCAGCACCCGGTTTCGCGACGCCTTCCTGCCGGGTTCTGCTAACGTCGATGCATCGAGGCCCGATGTTTCAAACCCATTTGCAGCTCTACAGCGAGCTAATCAGATCAAGGAGAGACAGCTGTCTAAGCGTTTCGTGAGTACTGCTAACCACCGTCCTCATCTTCCATCCGAACTGACCTGGTGCCTCAAACAGATGGCTATCGTCAATGACCACAATCTCGTCCAGGGATTGACCTGCTCCTCATATCAACAACACCCTACATCCATCGAATACGACAAAATAGGTCACCACACCACTGCGGCCTTGTTTCGAAACACATCCATACCCAAGGCGGGACAGCCCGTCTGGGCCGACCAGCTTCTCCCGATTCAGTTTAAGGCAAAGGACCCTGGAGTCGACCCCTTCTCGGACATCGAACGCAACGACGAGTACGGCTTTCTAGACTTTTCTCGGAAGCAACTGCTCGATGAGATCTCTGCGACCGCCGAGCTGCTTCTCGCCGCCCAGCAACGTGTATTCCTCTTCATGTTCCTAGTGATCGGTCGTCGATTTCGTTTGCTTCGCTGGGACAGAGCAGGCGTCATCGTTACTCCACCTATCGATTACGTCAAGCAGCCTTCCGTTCTCTGCGACTTGCTCTGGCGGATCTCCCATCTCAACGACGCGGGAATCGGTCTAGATCCTAGCGCCACTCGCGTCCTTCCTGGTGACGTTGATTTCCTGCGCATGGATCTAGCCGCGCAAAAGAATCCCAAAGACATGAGCCATATGGAACGAGAGGTGTCCGCGTCTGAAGAGGAAGAACCCTTCGTCTTCGACTACGTCCGCTCGCTGTTCCGTCTGTCAATCAGTAACGACTGGCCTCGCTACAAACTCGAAGTCGCTGACGGCACGGCTTCTCGCGGCTACCTTGTCGGCAAGCCTACTTTCCGCGCCCCTGGTGTGACGGGGAGGGGCACTCGTGGTTACGTCGCGTTTGACTGCAAGACAGGTCGCTTCGTGTGGCTCAAGGACGCGTGGCGAGCATCGTACATGATCTCCCGCAGGGAAGGCGACGTGCTTGAGAAACTCAACTCGGCGGGCATTGAACACGTTCCGACTCTGGTATGCCATGGAGACGTCGAGGACCAAGTGACTATCACTGCGGACTGGTGGGAGCGCAGATGTCCCATCTCCACGGTCTCCTCGTCTTCGTCTGCAGGGTCGTCTGAGTCGTCTTCATACACCCTTTCTGTGTCGGCATCGCCCCGCAGCAGGAAGCGCAAAAGGATGCAAGCCACCAGCGGCGAGCGCTCGCTGCAGAATAGCGCATATAGTTCAAGTTCGACTGTGGGCTCGGACCAGCCGCTTCCCGAGCACAAGCACTACAGGCTCGCTGTGGAAGAGGTGTGTCTTCCACTGAAGAACTTCGAATATGGCCGGCAGCTGGTTTTTGTCGTCCTGCACTGCTTGCTTGGTGAGAGGATTGCACATTAGTGACGGATGATCTTCTTACCATCCGCTTCGTAGCCCATCACCAGGCTGCCACCAACCCGGCAACACGCCTTCTCCATGGCGACATCAGCAGCGGGAATATCCTCATCTATCCCAGGATCAAGCGTACATACGACGGCGATAGCCCCATGATGCTATGGACTGGGCTGCTCACCGACTGGGAGTTGTCGAAGAGTGTGGATGACGACGAGGCGTTGTGCACGGCTTCGCAGGTGCGTTCGGCCATCTCATCCTTTGATAGTGCTGATACTGACATCAATCAATCTCGCGATCTCAGGGAACATACCAGTTCATGTCCGTGAACCGGCTCCTTCAGGTTGAACCGAAGGCCATCAAGATCTCCGACGAGCTCGAATCATTCTTTCATGTTCTGGTGTACTATTCAGTGCGCTCCCTCCATTCGAACTGTCCAGACGTCTCGTTCTGGATCGACGAATACTTCAATACTTACGCCGCTCTCGGACGCATGTACCCGTGCGGACAGAAATCCTCGACGGTCGAGTCCACTGGACGTCTTCAAACGGGGGCAGGCGAGGGCCCGCTCCTGTTCGAGAGCCCCATGGACTCGATCCTCGCCACCATGCTCCAATGCCTGAGGGCACACTACAAGATTATCCAGGACGAAGGACGCAAGCTCATGTCGGCTGCTCCTGCGCGTTCTCACATGAGGCGGACACGATCTTCCTCGCCCATTTTCGACCTGATTCCTCTCGACAAATACGACCTGAAAGCGATCCTGGAGGAGGAGGAGGAGGAGGAGGAGGAGGAGGAGTATACCATTCCGAAGACTAACTATTTGCCAGCCTCCTCGTGTAGCGATGCTCCGACGGCGAGAGACCGCGATCTTGCGAGCAAGATCACTACGCATGACTACTTCCTCAATGTCTTGAACAGCTTGGTCTGTCATCCCGACTGGCGGGGTGGCGACCGCATCCCGAAGTCTTCGCAATGTTGCAAGTCGTCGCCGAACGTGAAGGCTGATGCGTCGAAACTAGCATCGGCTTCTTCAAGGACAGATCGAGAGACGAGCAACAAGCGACGGCGGACGTCTGGACCCGAGCGCAATGTCTCTCTGCGTGCTCGCCTACGCACTTCGACGCGGCACGCGCAAAGTTTTCCCGTCCGTGAGACGTGGTAGGGCGTGCTTCTGGAATTTGCGGAGATACGTGGCTCACGAGAAGGATTACAACAGTTATAAAATCTCTCCTTGTGCATGACATGGTGTCCGTCAGATCCCATGCGTGTGCCCTGTGCACCCGTTTTCCCTCCATTTGTTCACTTCTCCTCGGAGTGTTATTCTTCGGTCCCCGCTTCGATACATTTGGAATAATCAACTTGTATCCGTCTTTCATCCTACTTTGTTACCTCCATCTATCCCACTGTCGTTCTGGCTGCTGTGCACGTCAGGTAAACTTGGAGCGCGCGATGCGGTCCACCTTTGGTTGACTTCTGTGTTGTGACATACCAAATCCATTATACACTACAGTCTAGCCATCTGATTTCATATACGTACCATCTTCACCATCGCACTTCCATCGTGGGGGACGTGATACACTGCATCACAGTACCGTGTATTTGATGTCCGAGTCAATCGACTGACTCCTCAAGCTGACCCCCGTGTGCACAGTGTGTTTCCGCTCTCTCTTGCAAGGGAAGTCATTACGCTCGTGACCTTCTCAGCTTTCACCCTGTGCTCTTGCCATATCTCCCCGCCCACAAGGTTCGTCCCCTCGGGCCGTCTTTGGTACTTGGCAGCTGATTCCCCTCACGCATTCATATTTGTCCCGGTGACCACGACGGTCACACTTCCTTTGCCGTACGCACGTCCACTTCATTGTGTAATACCAGCATACCGTCCTAATCGCCCTTCATAGCTCCCCCCAACCAAGTCCGTCCCCGCGTTTTTGACGCTCCCAGACTCCGCAGCTAACTCCTCTTACACATTCATGTCAGTCCCGACCACGACGGTTTCAACTCCTTTGCCGTACGCACGTCCACCCCATTGTGGACTACCAGCATGCCGTCCTAATCATCCTTCACCAATCTATCTACCGATACTAGTATGATGAGTATTACTTCATCAGCCACCGCTTCAGCTACGACTGCTTCAACTACACCAAAATTTTCTAGCCCTGTGCCAGTCGACACGCCCACTTCGAGGACTACGACCTCTTCATCCACTTCATCCACCTCTTCCTCCTCCAATTCTACCTCATCAGCCACCTCTACATCCACATCCACCTCCACGACCCCAACGACCGCTGCCTCCGCCGATTCAGGCTCTGCTGTTGTCACCACGCCAAGCTCCGATGGTCAAGTCGCCACCTCGACGCAAGCGGTCGGTGTGACCCCAAGTGCCTCTACGGGTGCCGATAGCAGTAGGCACAACAGTGGTTCCAAGGGGTGAGCTATCTGTCTTCGGCTGGCCTTCCATTGCACCTGTTCGTCGATGCGTCGACGTTTGTGTGCCCGTATTGGCAACGCCATCGGCCAGCGTCTACCCCTATTTGGACCGGTCACCGAGTGACTCGCCAGGACGCGGAGGAAACACTGCGCATGAGCGACTGCTTGAATCTGACATGCAAACGACTGTGACTTGAGCATCGTGGCGGTATCGCTAACCTTCCTTTTCTCAACTCAGGTTCTTCCAACACACCGAGGCAGTCGCCGGCGTCTTCACTGTCCTCTGTCTCGTTAGCCTTGTGCTCTTCATTATGGTCATCATTACTATCATTCGCCGTCGCCGTACCAAGAAGGATTCTAGCCGCGAGGTCTCCACAGCCGCTGAAAACGCTGCTGGGCCAGCTCCAGCTTTCACTGATGAAGACTACCTTCTTAGACGGTGAGATACGGGAGGCGACATGTCCCCGATGACCACCGAATACTCGGACAACACTCACGGTGGCACCATCCCTCCAATTCCGATGGCTCGCAGAGGCGAGAGCCACGACATGACCGAGCTCTCCCGGTACGAGGGCAGCGCTGCTGGTGACACTGCTGGTATTGGCGTCATGGAATTCAGCAGGCCACACATTATGGTCAGCCGCAGGATGATGGCAACGTCGGACCTTCTGCTCAAGAACAACATCCTCCCTTGTCCCTATGGTGCGTATTATGAGACTCGATGAAGCTAGCAACTGATCTACATGAATCGATGACAACGCAACCAGGATTGAGTCGAGGACACAACCTCCGCAACCAAGTGCTGTACCGGCAACCCCTGCCCCCTCCGACTATGCAGACAACATGTCGATATCCTCGTCGACGATCCCGCCTTCGTATCATACACATTACTCGTACCCCGATCTTCATTCGTACCTCGCCACGCCACCTAGCTCAAGCTACGGCTCCGCGCAACAGCCCCGCGCGCCGCCATCTTCCTTCACAGCCAACAGAGCTCGTGTACGGGGTCCACGCTCTCGGACATCGTCTGGGACCTCCAACATAAACCATGGGCAGTCAAATTTGCCTCCACTGCCATCAACTAATCAAGAAGACCCGTTCGCTGACAGTCAAGAACGGGAAGGCGCGCTGTGACCTAGCCAGCCAGTAGATGGTGGCGTCCATCTAGCCGGTGGGGCTTCGGGCAATCGTAGGGTCGTAGGAGACGAGTGGGACTACCAGATTAGCGGACTTCATGTATGCTGTTTCCGGACTACGATGGAGATGTGTAGTAGGAGAGAAGGGATACAGTGGGACTACGCAAGCGCAGGTGTGTTGCGCGAACTAGCAGAACGGGCAGCGAGTCGAGGGTATCGGATGTATGCATACTATGCGGGAACGACTCTACTATATCCAAAGGGATAAGTTTTCAGCTCGATGGACTTGACAGATACGCCCAGAAAACATTCCGCGGCGACTTTCTTTGAGTTTGTGAGCTGGTGGACTGCCCTATGGTCGTCTGATGTGTTGATTGGTGTTGTGCTAGTGCCAGTGTCCGTGCAACCAGTGCGATGTTCACGCAGTAGCCCGAAGGCAGGAAGGAATTGTGATTGAATCCCTTGATGAGGAAAAGAGGAGCAATAGACGGTTGCCCTGGGTCCTGCCCACGCTTGACAGTGATGTGCAGGGACCGGCTCAGCTAAGGCTGCCGGTGTGGTCTGGCATTGTTCCTGATGAATCTTCATGTCAATAGGCAAGTAGAGAAGCACTTACAGACAGTGCATTCAGGGAGTACGCCATGGAGGGCTGTGTGGAAGTAGTTCTGTTCATCTTTTTCGAAGTATTCATATCGTGTTCTATTAGAGCAGTTCTCGGAAATGCGTGGCCCAGTTATCCCCAGATATCCATGAATGTCTTAAAAAATTAGCTCATTCATGCAGATACACCTGAAGTCCACGATGGACTACGGCAGCATATGTTCATGTTCATGGAACGCGAACTTGGCACTGGGAGAGGTGAGCATAGAAGGATGTGAAAAAATGTGCTAACTCGCCGAGTATCATTTAGACAATGACAGCTGTTAGTAATCTTCCCATATTCATGAGATGTCGGCGTAGATAGAAGGGAATTCGAGGAATGTCCAGGACATGGTTTCAGCTCAAGTTCGGACGCAGAATCAACGACGGTCAAGACCAGCCGTAGCGCCGGCGGCGAGCGCTACCCCTGTGCTGATGCGCCACAATCGCCCGATCCTTTCCTCCGCATCTGTGACATAGCACTCCTCGCTGGCGACTGGCCGCGCTACCAGCTCTATGTGAACGACCCTTTCGTGCTCCCAAAGTTTTGTTGAGGTCCGTGTGGCTACGTCGCCCTATGTTTGCGAGAAGGGTCGTGGCTCAAGGACGCGTGACGCGTGTCGTACATGCTCACCGAGACCGAAGGTCAAGTTCTTCGGAAGCTCAACGATGCTGGCGTGCAACACGTCCCTGTTCTCATCCGTGACAGCGAAGTGCGTCCCCAGGCTACCATCACTACCGACTAGTGGGAGCGTATATAGGCTCGTTCTGACCCTCCTCTGCGATCCTGTCCCTGATCAGCATCAGAAACCTCTTCAAGTCCGACTACACCAGGCAGTTCTTCATCCTTGGCAGTCAGAAGCGGAAGAGGCGTCTGGAAGGAGCGGCGGACACTTGCACGACAGCACAGCACGTCAGGCAAAAGGCTCACACATAATCTCGTCTAGACGGGATACTCTGACAACACAGAGACTAGTCACGGGCATCGTTGTGAATGAGGGGTGCATGCCACTCCAAAATTATCGGTATGGGCGCCGGCTTATCGCTGTCGTCTACGACTCGCTGCGTGCTGAGTACTGTGTATTGACTTGTAATACGTCTGCGTTCGTTCTGATCGTCGTACTTGGAGCACACTACGAAGCGGCTACGAAACCGGAGACCCGCCTTTTGCACTGCGACATCAGCAGGACTGATATCTGAATACGCGCAGAGATCGTGCGGGCTCGGGAGGGACAATTACCGACAGTCGTCTAGGCAGGCGTCTTGACCGGCTGGGAGCTGCCCGGATTGTCTGACTGGAATCGAAGACTACTCAAGCGGACCGCATGGTGGGTTGCTCCTCTGGTCATTTCGCAGCAGTCTACTGACGCTAAGGCGCAATCATAGAATATACCAATCATGTCAGCAAACTTGCTCACGTGTATCACAAATCCGGTAGAAATTTTCGACGAGCGAGCAATGTTCTCCCATGTCCTCGTCTACTATGCCGTGCGCCACCTCCGTTAGAATTGCGACGACATCCATTCCTGACGTTCCTCTCTGGATAAAAAACCACTTTCACACATACGATCGCCCGGAGTGCATGCTGGTATGCGGGCGGAATCCGTACAGGGGTGGAAGTGGCTCGGAGGCTTCGGTATCGTTACCCTGAGGGCCCTCTATTTGTCCCTAATCCAATAAATAGTGTCCTTGCTACAACTTCGCCGCCATCAGCCCATTTTGACCTTCTCGTACTCATTGTTTAGTTCGACCGCCACGGCTGGGAAGCTTTTTACGTGCGTCCTGTTGGCAAGGAACCTACTCCTGAGGAACGGAAGCTCGCGAAGTCGGTTGTGGGCCACCGGTTTATGTTCGGTCACCTTGCAAGAGCACTCCGTGATCTATGGTCGCGAGACGACGACCGAACACCCTCATTCTGAGACCGGGAGCCTTCGTCGGTGAATGCTAGCCGCAACGAAATTGCTTCTCCGAGGGGCAAAAACGGCCGCAAACATTCAGATGTGAACCCAGCGTGTCGTTACCCGCTGGCTTGCGTGTATCGGAGTGTCGCACCCGCTCAATAGATTGGGCGAGTACGTATGCCGTCCGCGCGAGGCCTTAGTGGGCGTACATAACGTGAGCGGCAGGAAATTTTATGTGAAGTCTCCGCCTCTACCACCATACTATTGTTTGGTTTTCATTCCATAGGAGGCTTACCTCCGAGCTTTGCGTTTTGTTCCTTCAATTCCACTAGGACAGAATGTAGAGTCCCCCTTTCAACGTGTTTGCACACATCGGCGGAGCGTTGTATGGGCTACACTGACACTGGATTTCTCTTAGATATTTCTATTCAATATATGGCGTTACACAGTTAGAAACACTGCTTTGCTGAGCAGAAGCGTCCATTTGGCACGACATCACCGGACTCGGAGTTGGATACATGCCTTATCTCCGATTGAGCGCTTGATATAGACAGCTCATCGCGACGTCTCCGTCTCTAAAGTTTCAAAGACCACTGCCGACTGTCTCTGTCTCTACTCTCAATCCGAACCAATCACTGCATCGTCTTCAAATATATGCTGGGACTTGGACCGTACACCCACACACTCAGCATGATGAACATTCCGCCCTCGAAGGCTCACACGTAGTAAGAAAGATCGACTCGTACTTGACCTCATTGTCGTACCTATCGCCATTCCGACAATCGCCGACTCCCTGGGCGGCGGCAACTAGTTCGTATGGGTAGGCTCTGCTTATCGCCTCACCAGTGTTGCAAGCCTACCCTGATCTGGTTGCCTTGCAGATGCCTTTCGGCGGCGACCTGTCATACCAGCCTCGGTCAAACTCTTCGCTTTTCGCCATAGGAAACGCTCTCGGGCGCAATCCATATCATGAACATGCTCGCTGAGGCACGACGTGAGTCCTTCGTTTTGGGCCGCTATGCATGTTTCTCATGTCGCGCAGCGTACAGGGCATGGACAACGGAGGAACCATGGGCCTTTCTGAGATCGCCGTGTCCAACCTCGTCCCGCTGTCAGGTCGGGAAATGTCCACGGGCATCTGCGTTTGGAATTGGCCATTACGCCTTGCGCACAGCTTGGAGCGAGTAGATCAAGAAGGGGTGCGTGTTCCAGTGTTCTTGTAGCTATGTTGGCTCCTACGTCATTCTAAACGACGTTGTTTCTTCACGTTCGCATCCAGTATCCACATCCCTTTTGACACAGCATCGCAATCAGAGTCTGCGTAATCTAACTCCCTAGTGGTAGCTTTCTGGACGCGCCCTCACACATCATCTCGGCATCGGAGATCGCCGCTTTGCTATGCATGGAAGATCACAAGGCTTTATGAGATGGTACGTCTCTAACAGTATACTGCTCGCTGATTACTAATCTGCTCGTGTTTCGTGTTGCAGCATACCATTTTAGGTATTAAAACGCGTTAGAATAAGCAGCCAGTAGCTGACTAGTATTGCGTAAGCACAGAGGGATATATCATGTTCGACAGCTCTGTAGCCTTGGGAGCCATCCGAACTCTGAGCTGACCTCTACTATGTAGCTAATGCTCGAGTTATCGTATACTTTTCATGGCCGCTTTGCGCAAAAGTGACCTCAGTTCCTATCCGCGAATGCATGTTACGGAAGGGTTCATCACTCTGGTACTGGTGCGGATAACATCCATACGTGCTCTAGCATTCCGAACTCTGACTCACACACGGCCCGCAGTTTTTGGCTGGTTTCCTCAGTGTCTAAGTTTCAATGTGTGCCACACATTTGAACAATATCACGGCCGATACAGACATTCTCGCAGCGTGTTCCCCATCGGAAAGGCAGAATGCCATCAGTACGCATCAGCTACGTACAGAATCGATCCTTGTTTGTTCTATCACATTGAACGCTTCCGAACTCTATCAATGATGACCTGTGCGCTATACTCACTAGATATAAAAGGTAGGCGTGCGGGTGCATAATACATCTAACCGTACGCATTGGCCTGTTGGCCCATCTATTGTTCTATTCAACCCGTTTCGGAACCGAGACAACGAGGCGTTTAAAACGTCGTCTCCCTTCTAATGATCTAACCACGAAGCAGATCCTGTTCCTTTCTACTACCTCCTCGCACCATCCACTCGCTCATCATGGAGCTTGACCCCGCCTGGGGCCTCGAGGAGTCGCCCTACATCACTCGAAAACTCCCGAGCGTTGTCAAGTCTGTGGGTGAGGTCTCCCTTGACCAATACCGTGTCCAGTCCATCAAGGATCTTGCGGGCCGCGCTGTGCAGGCGGATGATGTGGAGGAGTTCTTCAACTTGCATCTCCCGTGTCCGGGTTTCCGGAAGCAAAAGCGTGGTGCGAAGGCTTTCAAGTGCCCAAAGAACAACCCCTTTGCAGCTCTTGAGGATGCGGACAAGATGTCGGAGGTGAAGGTGGTTCGACTACTTGTGAGTATGTTCGAGCCTCCAGGCCCTTCACGCGCTGATGTGGCGTAACCACCAGAACCAGGCCATCGTCCAGCACAAGCTCGTACCTGGTTTAGTGCTGTCGCGGTGCGAGAATCGACCGGACTTGAAGAAGAAGTCACGAAAGAAGAGCAAGAAGGATGACGAGTCGAAGCCGAAGGTCGATATCTTGCGCCAGAAGATCGATGCCGCATTCTTTCGCGAGTTCTGCGCACCCAAGGACTGTCGCGGCGACTAGGCGCGTAGACTCGGGTCGACGTTCGGCGACGACCTCGTAGGCGAGCGGCAAGGAGCCGAAAGGGGAGAGAGAGAGGGAGAGGGATAAACGTGACAGAAAACTCGACGAGGGCAGAGCGGAGGTCGGCACGAAGGCACGAGACCTACGAAAGCTAGTCTTCACGCAGACAGCGACAGACTAGTCCCAATGACCAAGTTATACATTAGCAATCGGAGGGAGATACAACGCTATGGTCACTCACCTAGTCCCAATGACCAAGAGGTCGAGATGGGGACTAGGGAGTGCCTAAGGGGGTCCTTATATACTAGAAGGGCTGCTTAGCAACCAAAGACAAGGCGCGAGAGCGAGGCAGTGAAGATGACAAAGGGAGAACAAAGGGCGGGAAGGAAAAGGCAAAGGCATGGCGATCACGGGAACGTAGCATGCGGGTGTGGG